TTTTTAATTTTTTATTGTTGGCTGTTCAAAATATTACATAGTTCTTGATATATCATATTTCACACTTTGATTCAAGTGGGTTATGAGCTCCCATTTTTACCCCATATACAGATTGCAGAATCACATCAGTTACACATCCATTGATTTACATATTGCCATACTAGTATCTGTTGTATTCTGCTGCCTTTCCTATCCTCTACTATCCCCCCTCCCCTCCCCTCCCCTCCCCTCCCCTCCCCTCTTCTCTCTCTGCTCCCTCTACTGACATTCGTTTGTCCTCCTTATATTATTTTTCCCCTTCCCCTCACTTCCTCTTGTATGTACTTTTGTATAACTCTGAGGGTCTCCTTCCATTTCCATGCATTTTCCCTTCTCTCTCCCTTTCCCTCCCACCTCTCATCCCTGTTTAATGTTAATCTTCTTCTCATGCTCTTCGACCCTACTCTGTTCTTAGTTACTCTCCTTATATCAAAGAAGACATTTGGCATTTGTTTTTTAGGGATTGGCTAGCTTCACTTAGCATAATCTGCTCTAATGCCATCCATTTCCCTGTAAATTCTATGATTTTGTCATTTTTTAATGCAGAGTAATACTCCATTGTGTATAAATGCCACATTTTTTTTTTATCCATTCATCCATTGAAGGGCATCTAGGTTGGTTCCACAGTCTAGCTATTGTGAATTGTGCTGCTATGAACATCGATGTAGCAGTGTCCCTGTAGCATGCTCTTTTTAGGTCTTTAGGGAATAGACCGAGAAGGGGAATAGCTGTGTCAAATGGTGGCTCCATTCCCAGCTTTCCAAGAAATCTCCATACTGCTTTCCAAATTGGCTGCACCAATTTGCAGTCCCACCAGCAATGTACAAGTGTACCCTTTTCCCCACATCCTCGCCAGCACTTGTTGTTGTTTGAATTTTGTCACTTTTCTTCTCAAACTTTCTAATGACTCCACCTTATTAAAAATAAAGCTCAGTTTTGGTAATTCTTAATGCCTACATGACTGAGCTCCCTGTTGCCTCTCTGATAACATCTCCTGCCACATAGTATCTTCTCAATTAGTATTATTGAGTGAATTAACTATTGAATATATTATATTTTCAGCACTCTCAGGAAGGTGATTTGTGTAGTTGTATTAAAGCATTCCTTGGATAAAGCAATAATTGCTTGTGTTCTCCATGGATCTCATTTGCTGCTAGTTTCAGGCATCTATTTAGCATTATGCTGTCTTAGGTATTTTCTTTGCAATACAAAAACCATCTCAAAATAAAAATTCCAAAATACATGTTTTGTAAAATTTCTATGCACTATATAATTACTATGGAGAAAGCATATGTTGGGAATTAAAATATTTTAACTTAAGTTTAGGCCCCAAATTTACGACCTAATTATGTGTTTGGTTTCCTAGAAACTGATATAATGAATACTGAAGGCTATGTCAGGTATTTATTTGAAAATAGCCTTGTACATTTTGTAGAATTCTTTATTTCAGCTAATCAGTAAAAGGATTAATTCTGAAACTCCAAAAGGAATACTACAGATGATTAGAAAGAATTTAGTTAAATGGAAGAAAAGAAATTAACCTTGAGCTGGCTATGGGTATACCAGATGTATTGAAATTATTGTCCCTCCATTGAGCATAATGACTTCATTCCACAAGCAGCATTAACTAGGACTTTACTGTCCACATTGCATGAAGACATATGCTGTTACCTGGTTAATCACTCTCTCTCATCTTAAATATAATATAGATTTTTCCCTCTCCATTCAAATGATGAAGGAATGTGTAATGTCTAGTCTGTCTCTTCACATTTCTTTTGGAGTAATTGTGTCATTTATGATGTCCTTTCCTTTTTTTTTTGTCAGTACTAGTGTTCTTTCATGAAAGGACCTGTCCTCAGGGTGGGAGGGTGGAAGTGAACAATTAAAATAAGTTCTTCTTATTTTACTATTTGTTAATTAACTGAACACCTTCATCAGCAGATCTTAAAAGCTTTCTTTCCTCAAGTTTTAAAGACTAAGCAAAGTGAGAATGAGGCTTGTGTGCAGTATATGAGGTATGGAACAATTGAATTTATTTTCATCTTATATGTGGTTATGTGGTGTGGAAATCAATGAGGAGTAGAGGCATAGGTAATTAAAACATGCTTTGTTTTCATTTTATATGAAATGCTTTTGTTCTATTTGAAAAAAAAAATCCAAAAAACCAAATAAGCAAAAACCTATATATACATACACATACACACACATTTAAAAAAAAGTCATGTGAATTAGAAAAGTGCTCAAGATCACGCAAACAATTAATATTAACTCAAAATGAGCTTATTGCAAATGAGAAAGATGTAATAAAATGATTCACTTTAAAAAAAAGTTCAATATGCCATTCTTCTATTAAACAACATCTGTAGTTTACACTAATATTTCCTGGGTCATTAGCCTCCTCTGCTAGTGTATCCCTCACTGTCTGGGCACCTCACACAGAGGTGTTTTTGAATACTTGAATATGCTATGAACCCCCTGAACACAGGGCTTTCTAAAGTGTTGCTTCTGTTTGGAACACAATTTTTTCACCTATCCTCTGGCCTAATTTTAGCTCATATTTTAAAATTCAGAGTTGAATCTGAGAATTCTTCTGGATCACCCGGAAGAGTCGTTAGAGGATGGGGAAGATGCCACCACTTAGAAAATATCTAAGAACATACAGAAAGACTGTTTTCTATATAGTAACCCCCTCTTATGTGTGGAGAACACATTCCAAGAACTCTACCTATAGTATGTTCTTTCCTATGCATATAATACTGATGACAAATTTAATTAAAAACTAGACATTCTAAGAAAATAACAACAATGGTAATAAAAGAGCAATAACAACAATACACAGTGCTAAAAGTTATTTAAAATTTTTTTGTTAATTTCTGGAATTTTCCACAGAAAATTTTCAGATCTTGCTTGACTACAGGAAACAAAATCACTGATAAGGGGGCAGTACTGTAACAGTGATTGGAGGAGGAGTGCTACTGCCACTTGGTGCTCAATGACCAGCGCTGCTAAATGATCCAGAATGTGAGAGTAATTTTGCACATCAAAATACTGTGTCTCTCAAAATGCAAGTAGTACATTGAGAAGTACTGCCCATTGAGAAATACTAATCAAGAAAATAGATAGTTCTCTTGTTAAAAGTTCTGTTAGCTTCCTGATCTCTACCTGACTATAATTTTAGATATATTTATTTTATTGATCCTTTTATATCAGGGCAAATAAAATTATTGAATCACTGACAGAGATCTTTATTTCTGTTATTTTTTACATAAAGAGAATTCAAAAAGTATAGTACTCCTGAGCTCTATCGCTGTTCTTCCTTTACTCATTTTGATTCATGGGAAGGGAAGGACTTATTGGATTTACAAATTTAGAAAATACAACCCAGGGATCCTGTTCAGCTTTCCTTCTCCCTTGATAATGTGCTGCCTACCATCCTGCTCCTCCTTGTGGGAAACTTTACAGCATTGCTTGGGTGTTGGTGGGTTAGTCTGCCTAACAGAGAGTACAGTCTGCAAGTTCATTTGATTTCCTTATTAAACTTCATCTTCTGCCCATAATAGAAGTGGACTTCCCTGAAATAACCCTTTTTGGACTCTCAATTAACCCCCCATAATAAAACTCAACATTTCAATTTTTATGCTAGACTAGATGTTAAGAAAAAAAAATCACAGGGAGTAAAATTTCAAGGAGATAATTAACAAGCAAAATGTAGCAAAATAAGAAGACTCATGGTGTGTCTTTGCTTTGGGGGATAGACGAACAATGTTTCCATATGTATTTTTCCAGTGAAGCTTTTATAACCCAGACACCTGATGCTGCAAAAATGGGCCAGCAGGCAGGCAAAGGTTGTCTGACAAGCAGAGCTCAAACAACAGGGTCCTCAGCAAAGACACAGTCCTCATCTGGGATGAGAGAATTAGCCAATGTGACCCTCAGTAGTACTGCTGTCTTTTAATGATGTGGTTGGTTTCAGATCTCAAAACACTGCAGACAGAGCTGTTGCTAAACAGGCACAGGTGAGGCAAAGCTTCATCTGGGAGAGCAGCCCAGGTAAGCAACACTGAGTTGACTGCCCCAAATGCCATTCTGAATTCAGGACCAAGCAGGAAAGCCTGGAAGGAAAATTCTTAATTTAATGTAGCTTATCCACTGTCTCAAGAATGGAAGGCACTTAAACAATTGCTGGGTGTGGTTCAGGTGATTTGGTTATTATAACCAGGCCTGAAGGTATGGCCTGTGTTGTCACGATGGGGAATTGGGAAGAACTTTATGAAAGCCAAAAATAGAGCTATGGCAAAGTCTGCAGAATCATGGGCCCCTGCAAATGGAGCATCAATAGCAGCTTCAGGTCAGAAACTTTCCACTTAGCTCCAAAAGGCATTTACCAGGTAGGACAGGTATAAAGATAAAATGGAAAAGACTTCTTGGGAAGAAGTTTTCTTAGTTCTCAATTATTCTGTGTAGAAAATTGGTGTTGGCAATAGCTAGGTACAGGACCAAAGTACTGATTCACAAGAAATGATGGTGGCCATATTATTAGACAAACCTCACTTTACTGCACCAAATTGTAGATAGACACTCAATGCTGAGAGGAAATGGAGGTGAAAAGATTTGGGAATATAAAAGAAAAAGCACACAAGTGAGACCTTGTGACTGTGACTACCACCATTTTTAAGCTTTCTTCAGAGCTACTGAGTGAGCATTTGACAGATGGGAACTTCCCTGACACCTACCCCTGGCTTGGCAAATGGATGGTGCAAAAATTCATCTCTAGCTAGAGGTTTCTCTCATTTAAGAAGTTTACAGGTCATTCTCCATAACTGACCAGCATTCTAATAAAAATAAACCTAAATACCTTCCTCCACTAACTCTCTTTTTCTTAGGTAATCTTGAGGTACTTTTTTGTTCTTTGGCCAAAATTGAAGGAAAGGTTTTTTACCCTGTCCTTGTATATGTTTCAGCTTTTATTATCAGATTTCTGATTGTCTCCTTTCAATCTCATGGCAAAACCTCTGAAAGATGACCAGACATAATTGGGGATGTAGAAAATTTTAGCACTGGTAAGTATACACTTAGTACTAATTTAGTTTATTCTGTGACACATGGATAGCTCATTCCAAAGTCCATTATCTTCTTCCTCTTTTTGAGTAACTGAGTCCTTTCTTTTAACTATATGACTAATGAGCACGCTAGATTTTTCAGCTTACCTAGCTCTTTCCTTAAGTGTGGTTTTGTCAGTAATTGTCAAACAAACACAGAAATAACATTGTGTAATTTCAAGGAAAACTCTGTAGATATCTGGCATATGACTTTCACCTCCTTTTTGTCCTTTATAATTCTTTGTTTATATGCTCTCTGAAATGAAGATCTGATGGTTGGAGAACTAGCAGCCACCTTGAAATTGAAGAACAGGACAGGGCTAACTACTATAGCTAGAGAACCAGAGAATTGAAAGGACCCTGAATTTCTTCTTGAGACAATGAAATTTCATTATCTCAAGTCTTCTACTTGAGATAATGAAATTTTAATATACAAGCAACTATGAATATGGATTCTTTGAAACATGCAGAAATCTACCTTTAACTGATATATATTGTGAGTAATTTCAGAGCCTTCTGAGGACAAAATCTGAGAAAGATCCTGATAAGAAGGAGTGGTGAATTGAGAATTGTTTTTTCTTAAAAGAAAAAGTCACTCTTGGTCATAGGTTTAATTATAACGTTCAATGAGTTAAGTATTAAAGATAGGAAGAAAGAAAGAAGCAAAGAAGGAAAAAGGGAAGGAAGGAAGGGAAGGGAGTAAGAGGAAAGAAAAGAAGAAAAAATCCAAAGTGAAACCAAATAACATAATAAAGACTAGAAGAGAACACTTCTAGGATTTAGTATATCAAAGACCTGACAGGACATAGATCCAAGTGATATGAGCAAGAGGAGATGAGATTAATAAAGACAGTAGGTGGGAGGCAGTGACCTTGTGGGAGGTGCCACCCTTAGCCTTGAGGGGCAAAGGAGGGTGGTTACAGAAAACTGGTTTTGGCAAAGCTACTAGGAAAAGACTGAGGACCAGAACCAGTAAGTAGGTGTTTCTGATTACCCTAAAGGATGGGAACTGGGCAAGTCAATTATTCATGCCCTTGTGCCAAAGCTTGTTGGCCAAACCCAAACACAAGTCTGAAGGCCCTGGAGCCCATCAATATAATGTATATTGATACACTGAGAAAGGTGTGCAAGCACATTGCTTATCGAAAGCTCTGATTCGGCATTATCGATTCTATCTGAAGTGCACCTAGTGTTCAATAGTTGATGTTTTCTGCTTCTATTTACAAACCTGCTCTTGTTTTGGTATGATTCTCATTTTAGATTTTATCGTCAATGACATGGAGGCATGTATATTTGCATATTTTTGTCCCAAATCTTCTATTATTTAGAATTTCATATATGTTGCAGTTCAACTACAAATTAACTATATACATCTTTTTCATTAAATATGACTCATGTGTTACCTTGGGATTTTTAAACATGAGCAAATAAATATTGCAAATAAACATTGCAAATTTTCAGTATCAGATAAGATTTGAACTTGCAAGGTATGGGATATAATGCAAAGTACTATTTATATGTTCATTGTCTCATTTTAAAAAACAAAACATTTTAAATTCACATATGCTACTTCTTAATGTTTTATTCTTACTGCTTTATTTTTATTATTTTACCAGAAAGTGCAATTTCAAAGACTAGTAAATCTTTTAACCAACCCATTATTTCTTGACTTCTTAAAAATCTGGATTTCATTATTTTGATCCAATTGAGAACATTTTCAAGATGTTTATTTTTATTACAGATCAGTTGCTCTCAATGGATCACATTGCTTGTTTTTTTTTAAAGCTTCCTTATCAAATTTTTGTTGCCCATTTCTTCCTTTATAGATGAGAACAAGAGTTGTTACAAGGACATATAACCCTTTCCTTCTGTAAGTGTTTCCTGAGTGCCTACTACTCACCAGGCGCCAAGGTAGCTAGTGTACTGCAACTCTGAGCAAAACAGACTGAGCTCTCCGCACGTGGACTGGACTCTTTCTCTATAGTAGAGAAAAATCTGATAAAAGTAAGCAACAATAATATACATAAATCGGTCAGGTGATAAGTACCCAAATCATTAAGCACTTTATTTTTTCATCAAAGATATGTGAAATCTGTTTTTCATACTTTGAGTACTGTTCATTATTTAATTTAATTTTTGGAAAGCTGAGGACTTAAAATAAGTGGATGCTCATCCATAAAGGGGAGGTGGAGGGGCATGGGAAAAATAGAGGAACTTTGATTGGGCAAAGGGGAAGGAGGGGTGGGGAGGGGACACAGGAGCAGGAAAGATGGTAGAATGAGATGGACATCATTACCCTAGGTACATGTATGACTGCATATATGGTGTAACACTATATCGTGTACAAACAGAGAAATTGAAAAGTTGTGCTGCAATTGTGCACAATGAATCAAAATGCATTCTGCTGTCATGTATACCTAATTCTAATTAATTAATTAAAAATACTGTTTTATTGTTTGTGTTATGTCTCATTGTGTTGTCTTTAACAATGAGTGAGGTTGATTAACCTCATTGGTTAGGAGACCCTCATTGTTATGCAAAATTACATATAAGATGGTGTGAGGGGGAAGAAGGAAAAAAAAGAGAAATGTGTCATGGTAGATTGGATAGAAAGAGGTGATAGGAGGGGAGGGGAGGGTAGGGGGTGATAGGAAGGGTAGCAGAATACAATAGACACTAGTATGGCCCTATGTATAAACGTGGCTGTATAACCAATGTGATCCTGCAATCTGTACACATGGAAAAATAAGATTATGTACCCCATTTGAATCAAATGTATGATATTTGAATCAAATGTATGATCATCGTAATGTTTTGAACAACTAATAAAAAATTCAAAAAAATAATGAGTGAGGTTAAAATTCTAAAATTTTTCTTGATAATTTCTTTTTATTGAACTTCCTGTATCTATAGCTTCTTTGCTATTTTCCCTTCCATTCCTTTTCTTCATTTGTTATTTGTGTAGAGGGTAATTTGCTATTTGATTCCCATGTATTGCAAATATTTTCCTTACTTGGTAATTTTTATTTAATTTACCATACTTTTTGCCTATAATTTAAAACAATTTGATCAAATTTGTTTGTATCCTTGTTGTTTCTAGATTTCATATCAATACTTTTCCTATAGTCCAAAATTTTGTCTAGAATTTTATATTGTTATTTCTTTATAACTAATATTTGGATGACACTGAAGTTAGTTTTTGAGTTATAGCAAGCTAAGTAGTCAAATTAATGTGTGGTTATTCATTTGCCCAATACCATATGCCAGAATCCCATTTACTTACTAACATGCTATTATATATTTTAACATACTAAGTTCCCATGTATGTGAATATCTACTTTTTACTTGACTTTGTCTTTACTACTCTACAAAATACTATATACTAACTAATTTGCCATTATTAACATTTCAATAAAGATAAGGTAGAATCCCCCTTTAATGATCTTTTCTAGGAGTTATCTCTAGAAATTTTTCCTTGGTTATTTTTTTAGATAAAGTTTACTCCTATTTTCTTAACTCCTTATTCTTCTCTTCCTTCAACAAATCTGTTATTTTGTTTTAGGCAATAATGATTAATTTCCAGAAAAACGCATATTTAAAATATCTTCCTATGGTTAAATCAGATGTGTTTTTCCATTTCTTATAATTTTATGTTTATTTGTTGGAGTTTTAGATCACTTCCTATTAAGAACATTTCTCACTAAAAGTTTTCCTAGCTATTGTTTTTTTATTAGTATTATAAAAATTAATCCCCTTTCTTTGCATTTAAACTATTATGCTTTAGTGTGCTCACTTCATAACATTTTTATTCATAAAATTATTTATTCCAAAATTAGTTGACTCTTTTGTACTTTCCAGGTATATATTTTTAGAAGGGAAATATTTCTAAGTATTAATAGATTTCTTCAACCCTCAAACAAACAATTTATAGAACTCACTATGTACACTAAGAGAAATGGGTCACCCACTGAGAAAACTAGACAAAAACTAGAAACAATGAGAACAAAGCAGCAGAAGACACAGGAGTTCCCCAGTGGTGAAGAACAGGTCAATAGGCTGGCAGGAAGGATTGGGTTGGTGGGAGGAGAGGAGAGGTTGGACAGGTATATGAGAAAGGAGAGGAATTCCTTAGTACTTGGGGTTGAGTAGACCACTTCTGGGTTTTTGCCATCTTTTCAGGCACCCCACCCAGAAAACTTATACAGATGGCAAACTTGGGAAATTAAAATTGAGTGCCAGGTTCAGGTCCTCTCTCTCTCTCTTGTAAATGAGTGTCAAACACCTTGTGTGTCTTCCTCTTTGCTTTCCCCATTCAATGATCCATACCATTTGGGCCCAGCATTACCTGTGACTACGTAGATGAGTCTGCTTAATTGGGGATCAGGTGAGCAGTAGTGCTCATACACTAAGCTATTCTCCAGTGAAAACTGTACAGATCAGGGTGATACTTGGTCCTCCATTTCTGAATCCTTCATCTTATACACCAATTTGTTTACAACTCAGGCAGAAAAGAAGTGGAATTTGATTGGGCCTCTGCCTAGACTTTAAGGTTCTTGAAGACAGAGGGCCTGCCTTTTTCACTAATCTTTCTCCAGTGTACAATGGTTAAGTGTGAAAAGTCAGGATTTAGGCTTAACTGGTTCATAATCTGGCCAAAAATTTACAACTTTGACATGGGGGATAATATATTAATTTCAATAGAACTCATTTTAACCATGAGAAAGTGTGTGGCATAATAAAATTACCCCATAAAAGTGTGCTTATGAGAATTAGATAATCTGTGATAAAGTTCAACACAGTGTCATAAGCTAAACATATAATAAAAGTTATTATTATAACACATGAGAAATTTTAAAAAATAACCTTAAATAAATGCAATTTATTGAAAATGACAGTGAACTAGCTATTAGAAAAACTGATTTCTGGAATTCAGATTTGTACTATGTGACCATAATTGGCAAAACAGGGATTTTTTTATAGAAAAGATTTTTGTGGAAATCAGGCTAGGCAATTTGTTTATGAGTAAGATTAATTAACGTTAATCATTTGAATTTATCACAGAAATTTGAGAAGCATTTATAATTAGAAAATCTATATAATATACTTGCATATAGGTGTCTTATTTGGATTACACCCACACCCACACCCACACACACACACACACGTTTGTATGTGAGAAAGTATATTTATGGGTTTTAGTCAGTCTATCGACAGCCATCTCCATTCCTCAGGACTCAGAGTCAGGCACAACATTATTGGATAAGGGTGTGGTAGAGCAAGCAGCTCAGGACATGATGATCAGGAAGCAGAAAGAGAGAGTTCTACTGAACCAGGACAAAATATATACCCCAAAGGCATATCCCCAAGGAGCCACCTTCTCCAGCCACATCCTTTCTTCCTACAGTTACCACTCAGTTAATCCTCATCAGAAGATTCATTTTCTGATTGGGTTAAGGCTGTCATGACCCAATCATCTCACCTTTAAGCCTTCTTGCATTGTCTCACACACAAGGTTTTGGGGGACACTACATATCAAATCATAATAACATGAATATGTATTTCTTCTCCTTGGGGTACTCTCTGACACTTTGGAGTTGTTCAGATTCTCCGAGGAGCTCTGAGACACCTCCCTGTTGGTCATCCCATGGCCCCATGCCTGGCACCATATCCATGTAAGTGTCCTGAGAAATATATCACTCACATCAGCCACTCTGTTGAGAGTATGCAATATTGAGATACCAGAATTGTGCTGATACCTCAGTTTTGTGTGGCTCTCATTTACATGGGATGCACAACAAAATCAAGACTTTTGGCCTGATGAATTTTGGATTAATTCAGCAAAGATTCTTGGGTTTGAGTATTACGTAGGAAGTGGCTCTCACACAAGTATTATGACCATGGTGCTGCCTCCAGTCTATAGAACTCAAAGAGGGCTCAGGTGGCAGCAGGCATCCCTTACACCATGAACCTATCATAAACAATTTGGTAGCTAGGACAGTCAATCCCCTACTCCCCCTGTCAAGTAGGCTTCTTTTATATAAACTTCCTATCTCCTCCTAGCACTTAGAGATTATTGATGCACAAGCCATCGGGGCCTTCTTATAGATTTCCTCTTTTGCCTCTATTGATATAACATTGTGGTTTTCATTGTTGTTCTTGAGCTGTGAAACAGGAGGAAAATCCATTCCTTGTAAGAATAGGAGTGCTCTTCTCACTTCTATCAACCTTCTCACCAGTGGGAATATGCTGCCTGATTCCACTTTCTGTTGTGATAACAGAATACCTAAGATTGGCTAATTTATATAGAAAAGAGGTTTATTTAACTCACAATTTTGGAGGCAGGGAAATTCAAGATTGAATGGCCATGCCTGGAAAGGTCCTCATACTAACATGGTGAAAGCAAACAGTTGGACAAATTGGCATGAACTAGGAGGGAAAAAGGAGTTGACCTAACTTATAACTACCAAAGACTAATCAATTTCAGTGAGAAATAATCCAGTCTTACAAGATAGACATTAATCTCTCTTAAGAGCCCTACCTCATGGCTGGCATTGTGGCTCAGTGGCAGAGCACTCGCCTAGCATGTGTGACACATTGGCATTGGATTCAATCCTCAGCACTGCATATAAATAAATAAATAATAAAGGTACATCAACAACTAAAAAATAAAAAATAATTAAGAATACAAAAAAATTACCTCCCCAAACTGGTACTTTGACAACTAAATTTCAACATCGTTGAGTGCACACTACATCCAAACTGTAATATGTACAGAAGGCAGGAGTTAACTGACATGAAAATAAATCACATTCTGGAACATGGTGCATAGCCTAAGTGCTCAAGAAAAAATGTGACTAGAATATTTGTTTCCTTACAATGTGTTTTGTTTTTGTTTTTGTTGTTTTACTACATTTATTCAATAGGTAAATTATAATTATAAAATTTTAAAATTCAGTAAATTATAAAAATATCCTATAGCTAAACTAATAATGAATTATCATTTACTTTTCCTGCATATTATGCATAAGACTTGTGCTTGTATGGACAAGACTTAAAATTGAATTACCATTTACTTTTCCTACATACTATGTATAAGACTTATGTTTGTATGGACAGGACTTGTATTTGTCATCATCATCAAAAT